TCGGAATAATTGTGGTAAGCTAGCACTAAGTCCCTTGCTTGTCTACATTTACTCTTTTCTTTACAATAAGTCTTTCAAATAAATCATTGTTGTACGGCAGTGAGGCATCGGTGCTGACCACTGATGTCATGATGCCGATGATGACGATGATGCTCGCGACAAGCGGGTAAACATTGGGGATGTCTTGAACAGTGGATAACTGAGGCCTGATTTTGTATTCCTTTGTATTTGTCTGCATTTACAGAGCAGATCATTTATCCTACCACAAGTTCACGAATACAATGGTGAGAGGGATATCAGAGGGTTTCAATTGTGTTTCAGACAATTCTGGGGTTACAAAAAGGCTGGCCAAAGGCTGTGTTGACCAGATTAAGAAAAACATTTTCTTCTGACTGACTGTCCTTTGTGCCTGAGTGGCGGAGATGTCACTGTTGTCATGCTAAGAAACACGTGCACTTTAGCATCACTCTGGTCATTTGAGGAATTCCATGTTAGTACAATGTGACTAGAGAAATGCAATGCCCAACGGGATTGTCGAATTTAATTGAATTTTCCTTAATTGAATGATATCCGCATTTTGAAGTTTTCCTTTAATTCACTGTCGATCTGGTGAGTACTCAGCCAGTTTAGGTGAGACAGATACTGAGATACTGGGTAGCATGAAGCTCTACTACATCTGGTTGTACGGTAGTGAGGCATCGGTGCTGAACACTGATGTCATAATGCCGATGATGACGATGATGCTCGCGACAAGCGGGTAAACATTGGGGATGTCTTGAACAGTGGATAACTGAGGCCTGATTTTGTATTCCTTTGTATTTGTCTGCATTTACAGAGCAGATCATTTATCCTACCACAAGTTCACGAATACAATGGTGAGAGGGATATCAGAGGGTTTCAATTGTGTTTCAGACAATTCTGGGGTTACAAAAAGGCTGGCCAAAGGCTGTGTTGACTAGATTAAGAAAAACATTTTCTTCTGACTGACTGTCCTTTGTGCCTGAGTGGCGGAGATGTCACTGTTGTCATGCTAAGAAACACGTGCACTTTAGCATCACTCTGGTCATTTGAGGAATTCCATGTTAGTACAATGTGACTAGAGAAATGCAATGCCCAACGGGATTGTCGAATTTAATTGAATTTTCCTTAATTGAATGATATCCGCATTTTGAAGTTTTCCTTTAATTCACTGTCGATCTGGTGAGTACTCAGCCAGTTTGGGTGAGACAGATACTGAGATACTGGGTAGCATGAAGCTCTACCACATCCCTTTAGCATACGATAAACCCTCGGCCATGTATGTCCCTTAAAAACCTCTGTTTAGTTATCCACCAAAGTCATTCGCGTAACGTTGGTTTGAGACCATGACGGATGAAAAACAAACGGTAAAAGTTGTTCACTTTAGCGAAGTATTTTGCCAATTTCGCGCAATTTGGTTTCAAGTCTCAAGGTTGACAGAAGATCGGGGACGGCGCCTACCTGAGGAGCTCCAAGAAGGGCAAAACCGGTCATGGGCTGTCGACGGATTTTCAGCAGCCTTATGAGTAGTGCATCACAAATGTACATTGTTCATGGTCGTTCGCTGGTTTGCTGAGCTGGGCAATTTGACTGCAAACGTTTCATCACCAATCGAGGTGACATCATCAGTGCATTACTGGGGAGCGTAGTGGTGCGTAGCGCTACACTGAAAGTATCACACTTGGTTTGACTGTGCATGTGGGATTACCATCTTGATACCAGAAGCTCTGGTGAAGTTCCGTTCACTGACTGCGCACGCACCATCCCTGGTGTTTATACGTGGTTACCGAAAAAACCGATTCAAACAATCTCTGTAGAAACGCGGTCGTATAGCCCTTAGCCAATCTCATAGTGAGTGATCTGACTGAACCGTCTGTGCGTAGCTCAAGTCGGTGTATCAATTCGGATGGTTTGACCGACTGGGCTTGTCTAAGCGCAGTGTAAGTCAAGCGTGAATACAAATTAACATCCATAGACAGCCACAGACGCATACAGAAGAAAAATCAACTGATGTAATTTCCTCGGATGGTGATGAAACGCTTAATCCCAAAGTGCTCATGGGGCGAATAGAAGAGTGTTGATAGAATGAGCAGATCTGGTGATGTTTTAATCGAGAATTCGTCCCTTAAATGAGGTCAGCCCAAGCCGAAAAGCCGAGAAGAAAACCACAGTTGTTTTAAAATTACAGAAAATTGCCAGTGGTGCGCAACTCACGTAGGGAGATGCAAACCCGTGACATCTCAGCTAGTTTATTGCAATCACAAATTGCTGACCAGACAGGATATTGTCCCACCCATCTGCAAATCGTGGGACTTATAACACGTGGATATTTAGTGATTTATCATTTACACAAGGTGAGCCACCAGGTTTCAGGTTAATTGGCAACGAGATTGACATACTCATGTCTTTGTGAAATTCGGCATGGCTGGAGTTTCGGCGGACGTTCCGGACACATCATCATAAATAAATGACCCAAAGCTTATTCGTACCACCTAGTGACACATGGAAATGCCTTAGGACTGTGGGTCCGAAATGGCAACAATGGGACTAATGCGAATATTAGGAGAAAAAGAGAGAGATAGACTTGAATGATACATATCTTACTTTTCTTTAGCTGTTGTGGCCGAATCGTCCGAAACGCCTTTTGCTTCCTCAGTACGCTTGCACTCGAGGGCATTTACATATGGTGCTTCCGAGGTAACCATTCGGAAGGAAGCGTGAGATGCCCTGAGGGTTTTGTTAGCTGAAGATGTGATGTTGAGGTTTGGAGAATGTCGTGGGTCTGACGGTGTTTGGAATGACTTCAAGGTTGCATCGCAGGTCTTGATAAGAACATAAAGATAAAGAATGAGATTCTAGAGTGCTCGAAGTATTGTGACAATGTGTTTTGTAAAACAGTGGTATGGTAACGTGCTCAGTTAGAAAGAGCCAACTATGAGCTCACTACATTTTTCTTGGAGTTTTTGGAACGCAGTTTTTGAACCGTTACAGCACTGCATCGTTAATATCGTCCAAGTAAATTACAGATTTTAGCCATCCAATATAGGCGGAAGTCAATGACCGTAACCGGTCGGTCGAATGGAGGAAGATCTATTGGTCTCCAAATAATGTGTCTCTCAGTTCTAGTTGGGTATCACAGCGGTCCCCGCTGCTAAGTGAGCGCTTTGAAACAACCCGAGGCTGACAGATGGAGACGGTGAGTGTGGAAGCCTTGGAAGTGGGAAAGGCAGTGTCGACTGGAAACTGTTGAACGGTAATGCAATTAATCCTAATACTAGCCAGAGGAAAGTAATGGTTAGTCAAATTTTTACAGGATGAACAAGAATGCATAGGCTTGTGTGCCAGACCTGACAAGCTTTTCAATGCGATACAAACTGCGCGATTTTAAGAGAAAATTGAGTCACAAGCGAAACCGCGGACTTGAAGGTTCAGTTCGTTATCTCCATCTCTTTACCCTGTGTAGAGGTTAAATGGCGAACCTTCCTAAATTTCGAAGAAGCACATTCATCATAATTAGAAAATGAGAATTTCCGGGAAAGCTTTGACACCTAGTGTCGTTATTGTTTTTATAGGTGGACAGGGCATCCTTTTGGCTACCATTACCTCCGAATTACTGACAATTAGTATCCCATGCAAGCTCAACACCACTCACTAAGAGAAAATTGGTGGTAAGAATGCACAGTTCCGTCCGAGGCATAAGTACATCCACCAAATCTGCACATTATGACCAAAATACCTGTATGAGGTAAACCATGTCTACCTTCAGTCTAAAAGCAGCACTCAGCTTAAGTGACCGTCTTGCGTTGAAGAGATGTCCTTGCAGTGCTGCTCCCGTGGTAATAAGAGCAGCTGGAATCCAAGTTAATTAAATCAAATTGCGGTTCGTGAAATCGAGTTAGGCAGAAATCAAATGTTCACTTTTTCACCATACGAGTGAAGGGGTAAGGTGGGCAGCTTGTGCTCCGCACTGAGTACAGGGTGAAGTTTTTCACAAGTATAAAAAGAATCATCGGACAAAATTTGAAAAGTTTTTTGTGAGTCTTCACTTCGGATTGGCAGGGCAGGGCAAGTAACCCCATCACAAATGTACATTGTTCATGGTCGTTCGCTGGTTTGCTGAGCTGGGCAATTTGACTGCAAACGTTTCATCACCAATCGAGGTGACATCATCAGTGCATTACTGGGGAGCGTAGTGGTGCGTAGCGCTACACTGAAAGTATCACACTTGGTTTGACTGTGCATGTGGGATTACCATCTTGATACCAGAAGCTCTGGTGAAGTTCCGTTCACTGACTGCGCACGCACCATCCCTGGTGTTTATACGTGGTTACCGAAAAAACCGATTCAAACAATCTCTGTAGAAACGCGGTCGTATAGCCCTTAGCCAATGTCATAGTGAGTGATCTGACTGAACCGTCTGTGCGTAGCTCAAGTCGGTGTATCAATTCGGATGGTTTGACCGACTGGGCTTGTCTAAGCGCAGTGTAAGTCAAGCGTGAATACAAATTAACATCCATAGACAGCCACAGACGCATACAGAAAAAAAATCAACTGATGTGATTTCCTCGGATGGTGATGAAACGCTTAATCCCAAAGTGCTCATGGGGCGAATACAAGAGTGTTGATAGAATGAGCAGATCTGGTGATGTTTTAATCGAGAATTCGTCCCTTAAATGAGGTCAGCCCAAGCCGAAAAGCCGAGAAGAAAACCACAGTTGTTTTAAAATTACAGAAAATTGCCAGTGGTGCGCAACTCACGCAGGGAGATGCAAACCCGTGACATCTCAGCTAGTTTACTGCAATCACAAATTGCTGACCAGACAGGATATTGTCCCACCCATCTGCAAATCGTGGGACTTATAACACGTGGATATTTATTGATTTATCATTTACACAAGGTGAGCCACCAGGTTTCAGGTTAATTGGCAACGAGATTGACATACTCATGTCTTTGTGAAATTCGGCATGGCTGGAGTTTCGGCGGACGTTCCGGACACATCATCATAAATAAATGACCCAAAGCTTATTCGTACCACCTAGTGACACATGGAAATGCCTTAGGACTGTGGGTCCGAAATGGCAACAATGGGACTAATGCGAATATTAGGAGAAAAAGAGAGAGATAGACTTGAATGATACATATCTTACTTTTCTTTAGCTGTTGTGGCCGAATCGTCCGAAACGCCTTTTGCTTCCTCAGTACGCTTGCACTCGAGGGCATTTACATATGGTGCTTCCGAGGTAACCATTCGGAAGGAAGCGTGAGATGCCCTGAGGGTTTTGTTAGCTGAAGATGTGATGTTGAGGTTTGGAGAATGTCGTGGGTCTGACGGTGTTTGGAATGACTTCAAGGTTGCATCGCAGGTCTTGATAAGAACATAAAGATAAAGAATGAGATTCTAGAGTGCTCGAAGTATTGTGACAATGTGTTTTGTAAAACAGTGGTATGGTAACGTGCTCAGTTAGAAAGAGCCAACTATGAGCTCACTACATTTTTCTTGGAGTTTTTGGAACGCAGTTTTTGAACCGTTACAGCACTGCATCGTTAATATCGTCCAAGTAAATTACAGATTTTAGCCATCCAATATAGGCGGAAGTCAATGACCGTAACCGGTCGGTCGAATGGAGGAAGATCTATTGGTCTCCAAATAATGTGTCTCTCAGTTCTAGTTGGGTATCACAGCGGTCCCCGCTGCTAAGTGAGCGCTTTGAAACAACCCGAGGCTGACAGATGGAGCCGGTGAGTGTGGAAGCCTTGGAAGTGGGAAAGGCAGTGTCGACTGGAAACTGTTGAACGGTAATGCAATTAATCCTAATACTAGCCAGAGGAAAGTAATGGTTAGCCAAATTTTTACAGGATGAACAAGAATGCATAGGCTTGTGTGCCAGACCTGACAAGCTTTTCAATGCGATACAAACTGCGCGATTTTAAGAGAAAATTGAGTCACAAGCGAAACCGCGGACTTGAAGGTTCAGTTCGTTATCTCCATCTCTTTACCCTGTGTTGAGGTTAAATGGCGAACCTTCCTAAATTTCGAAGAAGCACATTCATCATAATTAGAAAATGAGAATTTCCGGGAAAGCTTTGACACCTAGTGTCGTTATTGTTTTTATAGGTGGACAGGGCATCCTTTTGGCTACCATTACCTCCGAATTACTGACAATTAGTATCCCATGCAAGCTCAACACCACTCACTAAGAGAACATTGGTGGTAAGAATGCACAGTTCCGTCCGAGGCATAAGTGCATTCACCACATCTGCACATTATGACCAAAATAGCTGTATGAGGTAAACCATGTCTACCTTCAGTCTAAAAGCAGCACTCAGCTTAAGTGACCGTCTTGCGTTGAAGAGATGTCCTTGCAGTGCTGCTCCCGTGGTAATAAGAGCAGCTGGAATCCAAGTTAATTAAATCAAATTGCGGTTCGTGAAATCGAGTTGGGCAGAAATCAAATGTTCACTTTTTCACCATACGAGTGAAGGGGTAAGGTGGGCAGCTTGTGCTCCGCACTGAGTACAGGGTGAAGTTTTTGTGACTCTTTGTTGAGTTACACAAGCGACTGTCTAAACATGTACCGGAAATTTCACCCACCATCTGCTGGACTATTGTCTACAGGTGACACTCCAAACAATGCACCTATTCTGTTCAAAAGAAACCAGCAGTAAAAGCTTCGTAAAAAATACCCGTAGGTTAGCTGTGCCGGTCGAACTAGATGTACTAGCATCCACAGCGCACAAACCGGTACCGACGCTCAACTTGATCGGTGCATTCGAACTAAGCCGTGGTACACTGTATTTCCATGATCTGTTCGCTGTATCTATCAATGTGCATCATAGAATGTCTAGTTACACCCTACTTTAAGCAAAAGGGATGTCTGTTAACCAAAAGGAGCTATGAAGAATGGTTAACAAACTGTTTCAACTAACGAAATATTGGACATAGGAAAAGTCATCGTGCTTTCATCTAATTTGGAAGGGTTCGAACAGCAGCCGCTTGCTAGCGCCCTACTCGGTTCTGGATTTCATAAACATCGTTGACTAGTCCTACATCTTCCCGACACAGTGCGGATGACCCTGTCGCCAAAAGTTTTATTTGCTCTTTCACTAGCCGACTGAACAGGAGGTAGATGATCAGTGATCCATGTCGTCTTAGAGTTTATTCACACGCCGACCTGCTTGTGCTTCGATCTTGTAAGCTACATTCAGCATTCGCTAAATATATGTATGTTAGAGAGTTGTCCTAAGCGGCTTTCTCTTCTGTCTCTATGACCCCGATCGTAAGAACATAACCCATATAGATGACAAGTGATTGATATCTCTTCTCCTGGTATACGATTATCTTAAATAGGCTCGCCTCTATTTGCGATAATCTATGGGTAGTATACCTAGAATGCTCATTACAGATGTGAGCACCTATCGTTTTTCAGTGTGAAGTGTTTTGCGAATCAGGCTTGGTGGCATTACCCGGACCTCTTGAACGCTCGTGTGCCAAACCATTTAATTCAGGTTGGATTAGTTTTTAACTAGCTGTTTTCATACCCTATTTACTACTCATGTACAGTATCTCTTCTGCTGCTATTCGACATCTTGAATGGGCTCGCCCTTATCTGCGATAGTCTGTGGGTAGGATACCTAGAATGCTCATTACAAATGTGAGCACCCACCTTCCGACTGCATCGTTACGAAAGTCCTTGGCTAGCAGTGATGTGCCTTCATGCTATCAACGAGATTCACGAATGTGCAGTATAATGACTTTGTCTGTATTAATTGACGGCAGGAGTGACCACGTCTTCGTAGACAGGTATAGCTTCGTTTATTGCGTCATTCAGTGTGTCAATGGTGCAACCAGCCTTTATTTATATCGAATAATTCTATTTCATCCGTGTTGAATTGAAGTGTTTTGCGAATCAGGCTTGGTGGCATTACCCGGACCTCTTGAACGCTCGTGTGCCAAACCATTCAATTCAGGTTGGATTAGTTTTTATTCTTGCAAATTCTAGCTACAACTAGTTGTTTCCATATCCTCCTTACTAATCGTGAATGGTTTTTACAGAATTAAGAACGATAGGAAAGTCATGCATTATGTTAGTAGCTTGATTAGTTTCTACATACAAAAGCATATGAGATGATGTTAAGTAATAACCTTGGCTTATATACTCGTCACATCCAGTTCATACAACAGCAGAGAAGATTTTATCGTATGCCTACCAAAGTCCCTAATGTAGTGCAACTTGTTCGCAGATCCGGTACAACTTGGTAGGTATTGGAGGCCATGGAAGCAAGCCTGTCCGGCCAGCAACGCCGCTGAAGAGGAAGTTCATTATGTGCAAATGCCACGAGCTCCATGAGGGCATCCTGCAGCGAGAATACTTCGAACATGCACTGGGAACGTACAGAGAGAGAGAAAAGTGGGCCATAGTGTTCCCCAAATACTTCATATGAATACGCAACTGATTTGTCCATCATTCAGCTGTGATTGTAAACTCAAGCGATGACATGACAGTTAATCAAAAAAGCATATAAAATTACAACCACATGCAAAAGCATTCAAGTAGACATTTTCCACAAGAAAAAAGAAATATGCATTACGGATTTGTGAAATATGAATTAAGAACTATTTATTTCCTAACCCATCCTTGAACAACCTGCGTGTGTATTGAAGTTAGAGTCGTCTCCGTATATTGCAGTTAGTAATCTACAGTAGAGCAAAGATTACCAGTGAATGAGCAGAATAATCCAGTTGGAAAAATGAAATCAATGGAGGGGAATATGTGACTTTCTGCAACCACCTACAACTGACTACAATGTTCGCTGAACCTCCTTTCAAGCAATAAGCTAACAACCTTTTTCTCGTTCCAACATGAGGCTCTTAAGTATAGCTGTTGGCCATAACAATATCCTACGACTGTACTTACAAAATGTGACTAAATGTTTAGAAATTGCACACGTTCACCATTGTTGTTCGTTTTTTCTATAATTTAAAAACTCTTCAAACTCCGTTTTTGAAAGTCCGACCCAAAGATAAATAACTGCTGCATTCCAGGGACTGAAAACAAACCCTTCATGGTCAACATAATAAATTGGCTAAAAAAAACTGACATTAGATGCTTTCCGCCAGTGCAATCGGGTAAGAGCACAGTCATATAAGGCGCATATCCTAAATAGAGAGTTTTTGGTTATCCGTCCAGTGCTAGCTAGTCGCTGAAAAAAATAACCACACGCAAACCACCAGCTCCCCAAAACTGGATAACTGAGAATTTTTGAGAAACGACATTTTTCATGGACGTGACACTTCGCGTTTTTTTTTTCAAATTGACTGTGAAATCGAAAGCAACCGTGGAGGAGGTTGCCAAAATATTATGGCGTTGGACGGTCTTTTGTAGCTTAAATATAAAGCTAGATTTATTATGCACTGTGCTAGAACACGCAACCAAGCCTAATGGCTAACCTCAGCTAGTCAGCCTTTTTTAAATAATTCATCATCCGGCCGGACAAGGCCCGAGATCTCATTCCAATCTCCTGGTTGTGTGAACTGGCATTTTTGAAAAATGTCAAAATATCCAACCAGGACCTAAAGTGTCCTCTTACTATGAGCTAAACTGTGGGTCACGATTGTGGTGAAATGTCGCGTGCGAAAAAGGCACTCGGAATTTGGGCTAAATAATTCCATAATGAATAGCGATCACAAAACCATTGTTTAGCTGACAGACTTATTCAGCTTCCCCCGGGGAAAGTCTGTTAGTTACCAAGCCAGAACTTGCGGTCTTATCCAAGTAATGAATATTGAGCTGGGTGGTTGGTCCCAGAGGAGCAAAACTTGGTGTGTGCGTATTGTAGGAGGCCCAAGGCCCCTAGTACCAGCCCGAAACTTTGTTATGGATTGGTCGTTAATCCAAACCCTCCTCGGAGTTGCGCAGTGGGGTGACCACATATATGCTGCCTCAAAAAAAAGAATTCAAATGACAGAGTTTGTTGAAGGCAATGAAGCGCCCCCATGCTGTAGTATTTATTCAATACTGTCAATTCTCTGCGCTATTACTACTCTGTTTGTGAGTTGAATGGAGTGACACTGTCAGACGTTGTCACTTGCAACAACTGATAGGAGTAAACCGAAGTTCTATTCACCTACATGGAAGCTATCGGGAAGTTCTTTGTGCGAAGCAATATCAATGTGGGAGGATTGTCTACGGCAAAAATATCTCTTGTGCCGCGAAAACTGTGACACATTGGTCTGCACATTGTCCTACTTCAGAATGTTGGTTTTAGCTGTAGACCGACGCGCGAGGCAATGCTGGTATACTATCTTCGACAGCAACGGAAATAAAGGAAGCACAATAAAGGAATAGCTTCACTTCAACTTATTTCGCTCCATTTCCCTCCACTTGTAGCTGTCAACACAAGTGGCACAGCTCAAGCAAAATGAAACAGATGCATATAAAAGCGTGGGAAAGAGAGTTGAAGTGGAAGTAGAAAAGCTGGGTTTGCCCCAACAAGCAGGGAGCTATACGGCATCTATTTTCATAAACAATATATCACATAAGAATGAAAGGTGCTGGATTGACGTGCAGGAAGGGAAAGGTGGAACAGATAAGCAACATCGAGGCCCTTCCCATTACCTTCATCAGGTAAACTTGGAATCAAACTCGTCTAATAGCTTTGGATTTTAACCGGTCAAGGGCTACTGGCTTTTACCCAAAAAGTGCCATATGTGCTTGTTCGAGTCCAAAGGATCATAATACACCCAACAATATAGGTTAACTGGTTTCCAATAGTTACCTTTTCCCCACTAGTATTCCTGGCTGATTGTTGGTGACTCCAAGCAGACATGTCAATCAATTCATTCTATTTCTGGTCCATTCACAGTAGGTGTGCCTACGTTCCCATCAACGAGAACAGAAACACATTTTCGTATTCTTATCTATAATTTCGGAACATGGCGACAAGCTGATGTATCTTATCAATCACACAGCGTGCATCTTCACGGTAACCAGGCATTGCCAGTGGTCACCCATGGATATTGTATAGCTGATGGTGAAAATTATCCCATTGTATTCTTGGTGTGTAGGCTCATAAAGAGACCGATATTAGGTCAAGAATGTAACCTTGACCGACCGGACTTTAAATACAAAGAGCTTTGCTTATTGCAATCTGGGGATGATCAAACAGGCGACCTAAAATTCGAGTATTCTTCCAGATAAGGTGTGACGTTTTCGCACCAATAGTTCCCGTAACTGGGCCCACAAAACTGGTTTCCGTTTAAAAATGGATAAACACCGCCAGTGGACTTGAGCGTGCAAAAATGGTCACAGCAAAACCAAATAGCGATTCTTTGTCCAGAATCGCATATATCTGAGACATTTGTAGCTTTTCAAAAACATCCGTTCGGAGTGTGTTGCAGTTTCATAACACTGCATTGTGGCTTGCACTCCCAAATGATTGACGGTTTTTCCTTCCAGCTTATCGTGGTGGATTGCGTGAGATTCACATCTGACCACTTGTCTGCGGACAGATGGGAAAGGCTTGGCTGTGACCCTGTGCCGAGGGATCTTTCTCGAGGAAGAAGGGAGATTTGTCGTACACCGTGAGGACAGATAATAATGTACTGAGTTAAATCTTCAGTTCTTCCGAGTGGTGGTCTTTGAAAACTTCGCAGAAAACCCAAAGTACGCTGAAACTTAGGGTGTTTTAACGAGGCACTAAATTAAATCAAAATATGAATCTAGTGTTTATGATATTCCCCAACGAATTGTGCTGCTAAAAGGGCTCCTCAAGTGTCGACTGATATGATATTTGAGATAATGAAGTATGTTTCGAGCTTACACTGCTTATGAAGGTATTCGGCAGCCATAGAGGTAACATTATCTCAGGGAGCTAGAACATAGAACAATTAAACCGCAGTCTCCCTATTTTTCTTTTCTGAATCCTCTCTCTCCGATACTGTTCCTCTCCATCTGGCATTTACTTCCCCAGTTCTATTCTCCCGTTTCCAACCAAACCGCAAAACAGCCTATCTCAATCAGCCTCCGGGGGTCAGGGTCAAGATCCGACAGACGTCTTGTCCATGGTTTCTTAAAATGTACTATTTGCAAATGAAATATCGCCTTGGAATCAGTGGACTATCAACCATTACTTGGTTCGGTAGATATTGTGAAAAAACTTTGCAGACTGGCTCCTTATAATGGACACTTAGTGAATGGGTTTGTCGATTGCCGGCAGATCCTACTGGATATGCTGTATTAATTCACAGACGGGTAAAAACACATACAACCATAATTAGAATTCTACGGAGACTAACACACACTCACCTTGTTATAACCAGCTGCGAGGGTCGATGCAACTAGCGCATGCTTCTTTTCAAAACTGCAGAAGCGATACAAGGTAACGAGTGTTACTTAGTGAGGGGGTGCATCGGCGAAACACAATGGCTTAAGTTTTCCACCACAATTTGCAGCCTTCATTTGGTCAATTGCTCACGAAAATAAAGTTTCTAACAATAACCACTGATAAAAATTTCATACTATATAATGCCGCAATGAAGGGAAGCTTAGTCACTGACATGGACCAAAAAGATTCAGTACTGATTATAATGTTCGCCAGATTGTGTGCGCCATAAGTCTCATCCTCAGAGTTTGAAAGTATATCGTGTTGCCCAGAGGCACCTTGTCATTCTCACATTCATGTCAACAGCAAAAAAATGAAGCACTTTGAGTGGATAGCTTCTTTTTTCCGGAGAACCCTGTATGATCGATCGACAGCACTAGCGTCCACTTTGTTCTGCCTGGTAAAAAATTAAAATCTACGTCCCGGACTTCATGGTCTGATGCACTGGAATAACTTACTCCTCGTAATTGTTTGCCAAACTCAGAACGGAGTAAAAATCCGTCTGAGTTGTTCGATAAAAACACACAGCAGAGCTCATGTTAGGTTTACGGACAATGTACGACAAAGCAGACGTAGGGGCTGGGCCAGTCTGTATATGATGTCGTATCGTAAACTCGTTCTTGCTTACTTCGGGAACGGAAGTTCGACCATAAAAACAAGACCGGTAGCGCATTTTCTTTGTCTACAAAGACGATGTTGAATTTCACCAAATGTGGCTCGTTTCAAGGCCTTTCTAGTTTCACTCTGAGAAGTTGATGTTACAATGTGGTCCAAAAGTAACACATCGCACACCTACCTTCCAGGGAGAAACATGCTTTCTTTGCATAATTTCGCTGTTTTTTGTCTCTGTGCAGTAACAATACAGAGAGTTACTTCAAGATTTTGCGCTGTTCCGCAAAAAAAGATTGACCCATCTGTTTGTAGTTTATAATTACACTGAACAGCACTATATTTGAAAGCATCCGGTGTGGCTTTCAGGACCCTCCTTTCTGAAATCAACTTTGAGATGACATTTTGAAACTTTCACGATTGGATAATTCCTAAATTTCTGTAAGTCGACTAAGACTGCTGAATCTTCTGCCGTTTACGCAACTGATACTTTTGCAAGAGATTGTGATGTAAGTGAGTTCTACCTACAGGAAATTTTAGCCTTTATATATATATGTATATATATATAGATATATATGAATCAAACGGTTGCTACCGCTCTTTGCAGCACTCCGGGGTTCTCGAAATACACAGACCTGAGCACAGTTGTTCTCAAATTTGCATTTTGAATTTTAAATCATGAGAATGGACGAAGTAACAAAACATTTCAACCATTTTGTAGTATTGTGTGCCGGAAACCCACCCTTACAAAGCTTTCGGAACTGACTGTGTTTGATGTACGGCTACTACTCAAAAGCCGCTAAAAGCAATTGTCGTACACTACTCGCTGAAACGCACTATGTGAAATCCAACGGGTCGATTAATTTGTCCCTTAACATTTTTTTGGATTGAAATTGGCGTAAAGACCATGCTGATGAAAATCCAGACGGCCAGTGAGTTAGTGCTCCCTATGCGACAATGAAAGTTTGCCAGCTCTTGATGATTTGTTAGTGACTGAATTTCATTCTGAGCGATAAAATAACAAAATTGGACTTCCATAGGTCCAACCCTGCGTTGTTTATGCAAACATCATGCGAGACAATATTCCTGGAGTACACCGCTCAGCGGCGTCAGACTGCTAGGTGTGTACAATTTCAGAAAACACCAACCAGGAAGGTTTTGTACTCTTATCATAATCTGTCAACAATGTAGTGAGTTGGCGAAAAAATATCTATTTATTGGATTCCCCGGTTCTTTTATTTAGAGACTCCTTGATTAGACGTGAAAACATTCCTGTGGACTATAAGAGTTTGACGATGACGGTGGCACTAGAAGTTACTACGGTGGATATGGTAGCTGCTCACAGTGTGCTGCTGTACCTTAATCGCGATAAAATGTATGACTAGGTGACTACAACAAGTATAGTCTATCTGATGTAAAAATATGTCCGCCCAACGGTAATCACTGTTAGGATAGATTAATTTAAAATGGCTCCTCTCATTTAATACCGACCAAGCAAGATCGATATGACCTATTCTTTGAGCTGGTCTTTCTAGAGAAAAACATGGGTATCTGGAAGCTTTCAAAAAAGAGTGTGAAAGATAAGAATAGTCTGATTTGCGGATTCGATAAATGTGATTTTCACCGAAATTGTGTGGGCTTTCTCACGAAGAGACTGGCACTAATTAGTGGTTTTGGACAACAGTTCATTGCCGAGTGGCACAGCATAACTTCGTTGCCACAATTCGTAGACACGTAGGTAAACTTCCTTTGTGGCCGACTTTCCAAAAGAATGAGTCGCACTTGTATGCGATCGCTTCGTAGGCAATGATATCTTTTTGCTTGTTAAAGAGGCTGGTCCCTCCAATACGGGTAAACATATTTCTCCATTAGTATGACCGAAATTGTCCTGGATGTAATCGGAAATCTACATGAATTGATCAGGAGCGGTGTATTCAAAAATAGATGCAGTTTAGCAGTGGCATTGGACCGCAAGGATATCAAGTCCACGTTGGACCGGAAACCATTTGTGATTAAAACAAAAAAATATATACAATATAAAATTCAGGACATTTTGATGACGGATCATTTGTACCTTCCAGAATGGTATCATTGCAAGTAAAGTAAATCTGCAGCATATTTTGCCAGTGGCACTTCGTTGGATATGGTGGCTTTTTATATCAAACATTGATTTGGTTACTGTGGACAAGTGACCAGCTTCGTAAATAATATAAGATGGCCATTTGGTTTTGAGACCTTAAGTGGACACTTGTCAACAAATTTATAAGAATGTAGAAAAATATTGATACCTTTTCAGTACAGTTTCACTGTCTACAAAGTTTGGACTCTACGACCAACCTTATTTATTTTGTTGCTATCGATTTTTTTATTTTTATTTATTCTAGTCGTTTATCGATTCACATACTGTCTATTAAACTCCTCTAAACAATGGACAGACCTAGCTCTGGATTGGCCTCGGTAGGAAGGGTTAAAACATTGAATTACATGTCCACAACCGACCTTACTTCATTCTCTTCAAAATGCAACTAACTTAAATAGTAAGCAGTTATTTAATAAACAAGAGTATACGGGTCAGTTGTGATCCCATTTTTTGTTCAACCCTACTTAATTGCCCTCCGAGCACGAGGAAGTTGCCCTCCCTAACGGGGAAACGCGGTCACCGAGAAAAATGTGTGGCGTTCAAATATGGTCAGTGTATCGAATAACGCCTGAAAACTTGTGTCCCTTAAACCTTCTACAGACTTGACCGTACTTTAAACCTTCCTCCATGGAAACGGAACCTCCAGTCTTACCTAACCGACGGCTACGAAGGAGCGATGAAACCGTTCGTTTGAATATTTCACTTAAAGCTTTAGAAACGGTTTGACAGCTTTACTCACAGTCATTTCCATTATTCCCTAGGTGTCTGACTCTTTAGAAACCAGCGGTCTACTAATGCTGTATTATCAACTGTGATGAAACATACGCGGCGCTAATTTTCAGGTCGACAGGAATCGGTGCATTATGTAATCCTTCACTTCAAAAATTAAAAGGTGGTTACTATTAGGCTCAAAAATGTCCTGTGCAGATGTAAATCAAGTTTAACTTGGTCGGTCGCAAAATAGTTTTCTTGGTTAGAATTGCTTGCGCGTCCCGTCTGTAATAAACTCTTGTGATGGAGATCTGCGCTGACGTTTTCAAGAACTCTTTAGTTCGATAATATAATTGAATGTCCCGTTAGTCAAACGGTCACTGTTTTGTACATTGGCCTGTAATTTATAGCTGGGTTTTATCTCGTCTTTTTGGCCAAGTGCGATCGAGATATACTGTGTTTACAATCAAAAATAGACATGTTTTGTTGCCTTAGGTTGAAAAGATCGTAACTCTTCAAAAGCCTTAGACTTTCGTTCAAACGAGGCGTTTAATTCCACACAACTTGAGCATCTGATGACGTTGAGGAGTGCAGACAAATTAATGGCAATCTATATAATGGAATTCGCCGCTCGAATGTGAGGAAAACGATCACCGGGTACAAACAAAATGACACACTAAGAAATGTTCACTTTTTATTGAATCTGAAAGAGCTTTTATCACAGGCACGTTGCGTGAAGTTTCTGAATATTTGCTTTTGAGCACATGCGATAGTGTGCTCACTTGTGGAACTACAAAGCCTGCAGGAACAAAGCGAACAGAGATTTTGAGATAGGGAGGCAATGTTGTTTAATCAATCTGCGAACTACCATTCCAACTCCCAAAACGTAGGACAAAAACCGTCACTACTTTGTGTGACGTGTTGTACTTTGCGTGTAAACGCTGTGTACGTCTGATGTAAAGCTGTGAACATGCGGGATCTACAGCTGTTTATACCAGTCTAATGGTGATACTGCTGACGGGGAGGCAGTAGTATGTGATATATACAATATAAAATTCAGGACATTTTGATGACGGATCATTTGTACCTTCCAGAATGGTATCATTGCAAGTAAAGTAAATCTGCAGCATATTTTGCCAGTGGCACTTCGTTGGATATGGTGGCTTTTTATATCAAACATTGATTTGGTTACTGTGGACAAGTGACCAGCTTCGTAAATAATATAAGATGGCCATTTGGTTTTGAGACCTTAAGTGGACACTTGTCAACAAATTTATAAGAATGTAGAAAAATATTGATACCTTTTCAGTACAGTTTCACTGTCTACAAAGTTTGGACTCTACGACCAACCTTATTTATTTTGTTGCTATCGATTTTTTTATTTTTATTTATTCTAGTCGTTTATCGATTCACATACTGTCTATTAAACTCCTCTAAACAATGGACAGACCTAGCTCTGGATTGGCCTCGGTAGGAAGGGTTAAAACATTGAATTACATGTCCACAACCGACCTTACTT